AGTCCTGGCTGCCTTGGACAGTGATGAGGATTTTGAGGAAACACAAGAGATGATTGTGCTTCAAAATTCAAGGATGGTTTTGAAGAGTCAAGCCATGAGTCTGTATCATATAAACTGCTAGAAATAGACTACAATTAGACTATGATATAAAAGCAGAAATATTTTAAGCAAGTCTTGACAAATGCATTATTTGCCAGCATTGCTAAAGTAAACATGAATTAAAGTAGAAACTATCTGGATCCTTCATTTCTTCTATTTGCCTTGTTACTTAAGGGTTTGAGAAAACTTATATTTCTGTATTGCAGTTATCTTTTAGAGCTTATTATGTCATCTTTTCCCTTCAAAACAGTTAAATAGTATGAGTGAAATATTTACTTAGCAAAAGCTGGTTTTCTGTAAATTATCTATAATTTAGCACTAGGCCTTGCATAGATTTATGGTGTCCATTATAGCAACTTAAACCCAGTACATAGAGGCCCATAAATTGGTATGCTGCTTGTTTTCATGGAATGCTTATAAGATAAATGTTACTCAATCCTATGGCACCATATTCATTTTTCATTTGAAGGACACCATGTATTTTATAAGTAAAATTCCTAAGTAGCACAAGAAATTCCACCTGAATATGAGAAAGAACATGCACTGGAACAGGTTGCCCAGAGAAGCTGTAGAGTGTCCCTCACTCAAGAATCACCTGGACACAATCCTGTCCCAGATATTCTAGGATGACCCTGCTTAGGCAGGAGGCTGGACCAGATGATCCTCTGGGGTCCCTTTCAACCTGACCCATCCTGTGGCCCTCTGATTCTGTAGTGATGTGAGAATAACTGAGTAGGGTCAGAATTCTGCTGAATTTAATTAGAAACAGCCAAATCGAACAGACTGCTTTTGTTTTGTGATAGTTGTGTATGGGATAATCCTGAGCCAAATGCTAAATTTATTGAAGTTACTTCCCTAAAGGAAGATAATAAATTCAGATTAAAGGTCTTTCAGTCTGCAACTTGCGTTCTTTTCAGTGAAAGCGGCCACAGAACAAATCACGATTTCTCATTCTGCGTTGGGTAATGCCACCTTTTAACTACGGTGCAAGTGATTATGCAGGGAATATCTTTGATAAAGCTGCTCTCCAAATTGTTATTCAGATAACCAGAAATGCCATGTTGCTTTACTGAACGTAGCAAAGCTTGTCCTTCTCAGCCTTGCTTAATGTCCGCTGGGCGCTTCTATTTCTTGCCTTTAGTCAAGGGCACAGGACTTGCCCAGTTTAGTTTCAATCCCCAAGTCGGCAGCTGATGCTCACGCATCCCGAAGGATCATCACTCTGCAGTGTCTCCTTCCCGCAACCATTCGGGATCTCTGAAGGGTTTTGCTCTCCCGAATTGTTGCGGGAAGGAGACACTGGAGGGCACCAGAGGCCGGGATGGCGCCGGGCTCCCCTGGGCTCCGTTAGGGGACAGCCGCGGACGGGCCCGCAGCGGAGCCGGAGCTGACGCGCCCCGGCCAGCCCGGGCCGCGGGGACGAGGGGACAAGGGGAGAAGGGCGTCCCACCGGGAAGCTGGCGGCAGAACCGGGGAAAGGCGGAGGGAAAGCCAGCAAGTGCTTACTTCAGCCAGCACTGCTGGCGGCTCCGGGGATGCGGGAGAAAGAGGGGAAGAACATTCAAATCGAGAGTTGTTGTGTCATGTAAAAATGTGCATTTCAGCAGTGGTCTGCCCACTGTCCCTTCTCTCATGTCCATCTATTGTCCATAAACATCCTGGGAGAAAAGATTCATACGTCTGGATAATCCCAGCAGGCTGGTGCCACGATCCTAAAAAAGCAAAGTGCATTTCAACAAGGATGAGGTGAAAAAATTCCCATTTGCTAAAATCAAAGTGCACAGCGGTGCAGAAGGTTTGACAACATTAGCATCAGGGAAATGTTTATTGTATTCAGAATGAATTTGTGGTTACCACAAGAGAGTACCATCCCTGCTTTCACAGGGAAAAGGACATGGGCTTGACTGGGGAGGACATACATCTTTCATGGCTGGGACTTGGTTTGTATGTTACAGATACACGATCTCACCATCAACCTATCTGAAAGTTCTTCAGTCTCCTCTGTCAGAGCTGTTCCAGTTTGAATATAAAACTTAATATTTACCACCCTTGTAGGGTAGGAAATACATTTCTTTTCAGCTTCCTAAGCCAGTCTGCTAAATGCTGGACAAGTTCTTGCAAGAACACATTTTGCTTTCATCCCAGTGCAGTATGAACACATTTTTTAAATTATTGACATTTAGCAGATGGGAAAAACAGTTATTTCCTATGTTGCTGGGAGAATGGTGCAGCCAACAGATTCCTGGCCCAGCTGCTGCTCTAAAGATGTTATGCTGGTCACTGCATACACTTGAGAGTTCAGCCAGTGAATTATGGTTTGCTATAATAAGAATATTTTGCTTTCCATTAGATCACACTCAGTGGAACAACAGCAAGTGCACTGAAGCCACCAAAAAGGCTCTCAGTGACATTTCAAGGTCCCTTTGCTTCATTACTGGTGTCAAACAAGTTCTGGCAAAAGGACACCTTGGCCACATTGTCAGACGTAACAGATCAGCTCTTCTGAAGGAGGAACAGATGTGGCAGGCCAGGTAAACTGCACAGCACTGAGACTGCAAAGGAATCTTAACAAAGCTGGAAAAATGAAAGCAAAGATCATAAATCATGTCTTAAAACTCAATGCAGAGCTCTCTTAAGGTGTTATGTGAGTAATACCACCCTAAGATGTTAGCAGCAGCTTGAATTCTTCTCACAAAATCCTTTGAAACAAAAGATACACCTGTCTCCTGGATGGAAATTGTTGCTGGGAATCACAGCAAAGAGACTGGTTCATGCAGCAGAAGCAGAACAGGAGAATATGCCAGTTTGGGTCACTATCCAGAAGTGGGATCTGTTCATATGAGAAGCAAGTGTTCAAAGAATCCCCATAGGATCATATCTCTTTGGAAGGGCAGACCACTTAAAAAGGCCAGATCAGTCATGCAAGTCATGAAGCTGAGGAGTTGCAGGTATTAGCTGCTGTGTAAGCTAAATGCTTTCATATCTGCCACTGGCCCTTTGAAACACTGAGGACAAACCAAGGTCAGGAAGCATAAATTTAGACATCTATATCTGCACAAGCTATTAAACCTTCAGTTACAGGCGGTACAGTCAAAGGTACACTGCCAGCCAATGCAGGCATATAAAGCGATTTATTTGGTCACCCACAAGTCCTGCTGTAGGATAACCCAAGTTGCTCCTTAGGCTTTACTGTCTGTATTGGCTCGAGACAAGATTCACACATAAATGTCCAGCACTGCCTGTGTGCTGGGTGGGTGTCCTGTCTGGCATCCAGCCATCCCAACAGGACATGGGTTTCCCTTATATTTCAAGTGCCAGGCACATCTCAGACTTCTTAAATTCATCCAAAGGCACCAACATTTAGGCAAATGAATCAAACCACTGGTTTCCACTTATCTATTGATCTCCACAGTCATAATATAGATAGCAAGCATGTTTATATCTTTACCTACATATAGGCATGTTAATTTAAGAGCCTCTATCTTGATATTACCTGTTTTACTCTGTCCTTGAAAATTTTGTTGGCTAAAAGTTTCATTCTGAGGCTGTTCTGTCTTTTAATTTTAGAAGCTCTCATGCTTTGTTTCACTCACCTGAAATATGTCCATCAACAGTTCACATTCTCGTGCCTTAACAGGCTGGTACAGAACAATTACATGTGCACACAGGTAGCTCTAGAGACTGAATTCAAATTTTCCTAAATCCAAATTTTACTCGTGTTTTGCCAGAAAATCCCTGGAAGGCAGACTTGTGGCCCTCCTTCAGTATACAGGGACAAAAATTGTACTTATGGGGAGTTATGGGTGACATGGGAATTAATGTGTTCAAGAACATCAGAAAAAAAACAGTAAAATGAGTTCAAAGGAATGGTCCGTGTTAATAACCAAGGACATGTATGGAAGCAGTCAGACTGGAAAATGCTGAAGGATGAGTTCTTCATTTATATCATGACCAGAAGGCCTCTGCTCCCTCTGCAAGAGGATGGCAAAAAGGATGTGACATGGGCCATGCTTCCTTCCACTGTCCCATGAAGAAGATGAGGATACCCGAACAGAGGTATCATGGACAACAGACAGCAACCTTGCTGAAGTTTTATGGAGGGACATAGGTTTTGAGGTTGAGATGAGGATCTAGCATTCACTGATCATCATGCAGCATTGGACTCTGGACCAAATTCTGGTCAAGATCAGCTTGGGAGTGATTGTTCCAGTTAATTTGTTTTGAACTTTTTCTTCCAGCCTGCATTCTTTTGTTTTTGCTGGAATGAAACATAAAACAAAACCTGCCTGACATTCAAACTGCTCTGCTGATGACTCACTGACCCACTCCATGGCTTTAAGCTAGCAACCAGCTCACTTGCTGTCTCATTTGTGCCTTCTGAAAAACAGGGTAATGAGTTTTTGCTGATAATGAAAAAGTGAACATGAATTGAATTGTTCCCAGAAAGTAAATTACTAAATAAATATGCATTAACAAGTGATCCTAAGACAAGAATATGCTTGTGGGAGCAGCTGCATTTTCACTGAGGCGAGTCTTGAATAACACCCTGCCTTACAAAAGGCTGAGAGTCACTGTGACAAAGCACAAATTGCTACCAAGGTTATTAAGGTGACTCTTTTCATTCAGTGGTATCACAGGGATCAGCAAATGATGTGGCACATTCTTCCGTTTTGTTTCCTCTTTTGTTGTTGTCCATAGCTGCCCCTTCTGCCGGTATAGCTTGATCCTGCTTCTCAATCTCCTCCCGCAAACAACTGAGTGCCCAGCTTAACCAGGCAACTTTTCAGGTCTCACCGTGTTTTAGAGACATGGTCATAACAGCTTCCAGACCCTTCAGTTTAGAAGGGACACCACTAACATTCACACATTCAGGACAGAGCTAGTACAGTAATGTATTCACATTTATTTACTTGCATTACCATAAATTTTATAGACACAGGGAGATGTATTGACTAAGACTTTCATTGTGCTCAACAAAGAAAAGGTCTGAACAGAAGCCTTGGACTGGGAGCCATGAGGTAGAAAGTAACAGCAAACAGAAACAATCATTCTGAGGCAGCAGTTTCAGGATAGCAACTACTCGACCATCAACAAGAGTTTAACGGGCCTGAGGACTTTCAGAGAAAATAATTAGGTGGCCATGAGGTGTTTACAATGACTTTTTCAGAGAAGAGAGAAATTTACAATGACTTTTTCAGAGAAGAGAGAGTGCTTCTTGGAAAAATCATCAAAAGCATGTGTTTGAAAAGTATCAGTTTGGAAATGGAAAATTACTAAATTGCATCATAAGCTGATCGGAGGTTGGGCTTGACCTCTAAATACTGAAAGGGTTATTTTAGAAGTTGTTTTATCTGAGCAGTCACAGCACACAGAGCTGTGGTGAGTTCCTGGGAATAATCATTTAATTCCACAAACAGTAAAAGTGGTGAAGCCTGGATTATTGCGAACTCATGTTTTATTTTCATACCTGCCCAACACAATAACCTCTCCTAAAGCTCTTTATGACTTTCTCCTCACCTCAGCTGTACTTCTTCAGCATGTTTCTTCTCATGACCTCTAAATACCATCTAGTTGAAGCCCTGACAAGGGACATGTTCTGTCTCGCAGCTTGACACCCACGGTGAGTGGCACAACCACTGCTGGTGAGCACACACTTCAGCTTTGCCTCATTAAATTTCCTTTCTTATATAGAGACAGTCTTCAGAAGTCGTGTAGAAAATCCCACTGTTCATCTCAGATGGTCATCCTAACGAAGCAGAAAAGAGAGAAAGGCACTCTTAGTCCATGATTCATCTTATCCCAAAATAGACATCTAAATCAGGCCATTTGAATCATGGTTAAACATGCCAGCTGGTCTCCACTAACTGTAAGGGCAACCAAAGGGATTATGTCAGATGAAGACATTGGTACTACAGAAGGCTAAACTTAGGTGAAATGAATCCTACTATAATTCTTTTGAGCTCTGTGTCACTTCATGATGTTAAAAACTGGTGGTTGTTTTCAAAGCTTTTAGAGTGGGATAGATGGATGGACACTGGGATTGCTGAGTCTTCCTTCATCTAGGCTGAAAAATCAAAAAATCTTCCCACTGGGAAGAGTGAGAAAACAAAAATATATTTATGTATATTTTCACAGAGGAAGATGCTACATTTTCTGCCACTTCTTTGAGCTCTCTCCATCTGTTCAACAGCCCCTGTACATGTGTGAGTTGTTAGAGCAAGGCACCTCAATGCTGGTGTCACCACCATCTTTCCACCAGATAAAATCAATGAACATTGACAGCAAGTACCAACAAGTTGCCCTCTTCCACAAAGGTGAAATTAGTTCACTTACCTTTTTGGTTTTTGTAAGCTTTTCCAGGAATTAATGTATATTTTTCTAGTCGGTGATAAAGAAAGTGATGAAAGAGATATATTGGTTTCAACAAGATCAGAATATTTAGTTGTCCTGTATTGCAAAACAGAAAAAACAACAATTTACTAGTAAAGGACCTTGAAACTTTTTCTTGCAATGCCCTATTTTTAGGACAGCCCAAGTTTCCACATGCCTCTTTCTCCAACCCTGGAGTTAGCGTGCAAAATCCCTACTATGGGCTCGTGTGTAGATGCAGAGGTGCTCCACAACTCTGACTTGGTTTCTCAACACACAAAGAAGTCAATTTAATGCAACTTCATTGTGAAAAGCCATCCTGAACACACAGTTGTACAATAAATGCTCATGACTTACTTTGTGGGTGAAATTCTAGGACAGCTGGGCTTGGGACACCTCCCAGCATGTCCTACACACCATTGTGCATAGTCCTCCCAGGTTGCCACATGTCCATCTCTGCAATTTTTGTGGCTGCCTGGGATACGCTGTCTGAGGGCTCCTGCTCATGCTGCTCCAGCACTTCCATCCTGCTTGTGGCATGCTGTGGCATGGGGCTTGGTGCTCATGTGTGCACCAGCCCAGCACAGGGCAGTAAGGATCAGAAAAATTTCACAAATGCTCACAGAGCTCTGCTGGAGGTCGGTGTCACTGTTGCCAGGTTAACAGGCACCCCCAGGCTCAGCCATCGCACATAACCTCACCCTGTGAGGAAGCACAGGCTCCCAGAGACCACCCTGCATCCTCCTCCCTGGTCTCCTGAGGGACAGTTCTCTCCCTTCCCTCGAGCTCTGCCTCCTGTGGGCACACAGGTCCATGTGGCTGGATGGAAAACCACATCAGAACCCCAAACCAGATTACAGCTGTGGTTTTGTTCCCATTGGCTGACGTCAACTGGATCAATTCCTTTGTTGTTCAGACCAAGCTTGTGCAAACTCAAGGGAGAGGGTAGGAATGAACAGGAGGGAGGCAACACTACATCTTTTAGTATCAATTCTGGCAAATGTTAGCTTGAAAATACAATTCCCATTCCTGAACCAACTTCTCAGCCCTAGCACAGGAATCCTTTTCAGCCTTCTCTCCAAGAATGTGCAGGGCATAGCTGCTTTCTGCAGCTGGGCCACCCAAGTCATACAGCCCTCAAAGAGCAGCTTTGTTAGAACTGCAATGCAAACTGGAAGTGCCAGGAGAGGAGGTTCTGAAAGGGTTCACTTCAGACAAGTCACCAGATTTGTGAAAAGCTAAACGAAGCAGTCAGCTGCCTGTATTGCACAGGAGCCTCATGGCAACCCTCATGAAACAGTATAGAGCTTTTTGTGTTATTATTTTAATTATGTTTCAATTTAGTAGTGACCGAGCAACTTGAGAAACTCTTGTTCTTCTCTCTGCAAAAAGAATTAGTAGGTTTGAGCTGTATCAGACCATGACACATGTGATGCTGCTCAGTGACATAGGCAAGAGAAACCCAGACAAGGTGCTCTTGCTCCAAGAGGGCTCCTGATCAGCCTGGCCCTGGGCTGGTGAACTCGTGGAAAACATTGCTGCTGCACAGTGGCCTCCCCACAAATACTCTGAGGCTGCCTCCTATCTCTGTGCACCCCCCTTCTCCCCACAACTTTGAAGTGCAATTTTAAAAAAAGTCACCTGAGTTCAATTCCTGAAACTACTTTTTCTCCTGAAACTGTGCAAGCTGTGCTCTATGGAGTCCCATAATTCTGTTTACATCTGCATTTTCCACTTGAGGGTTTTGGAAATAATTGATAGTGCAGAAGATTAAAATAAACCAAGTCGCCAGACAGAAGAGAAAATACTTCTTGCTGTAATTGTCCTTTTTTCTGTATCAGTATATTTCCTGCCAGTTTTGGTAGGGAAGTGGCAGAGTTGATGGTAAATTGGATCTGTCAATCCAAATGAGGAATTAAAGTCATTTAGGAATAACAGGTGCCACCTGGAAAACAAGCAGAGGACTTAAAAATAATTATGGCTAAATGTATTCATCTTTGCATTCCAGAAGGCTCCCCTTGGTCTCTCCTGAAGATAATACATTAACACTGGGATGAAATATTGGCATGCTGTTCAAACTTTTCACCTGAGATTGAAGTACAACTTACAGATGCTGAGTCATTGGTCTTTTTATTAGCTCAGAGAAATAACATAACATCACTCAAGGATAGAGACCAGCCAAATTTTTCCAAAGATAAGAAATGGATTCATTTTTTCTGAAAAAAAGAATTCCTTATCTTTCTGGCTTCATTTGGTGATACATCAACAGAAAACCAATATGAGCTGATAAAAAGGATTTGTTAATTTATTTTCTTACAGAATATTTGATCCTTTTAGATTATTTCAAATAGCATCCTATTGGGTCAGAAATTCCTGACTACCAAGGAATTGGAAACCTGATTTTCACAGCACTGCTGCCATGTATTGATGTAACTTACCATGGAAAGCACCCCATATTGATTATATATAACCATACCATATAACCCATGGCCAAACAACAATACAAAAACACATCCACAAATTTTAATTGTTTAAATTCCAAGCAGCCTAAGATTTAAGCAGACAGCAGAGAATTTAGGGGAGCATGACAACAGCTAAACAGTTTTTTAGTTCATATGGAATTGTTCAGGTTGACAGAGGCAGCAGGGAAAGTGGTATTTTCTAAAATGCAACATCTTATGGGTTTGTTATAAAAGTGGTGTCAAACTTTCAGAAGCAAAGACCCTAGTGATGGGTCACTAATTAACTTACAGCTTGATCCAGCGGAGCTCCTTTATTTGGTCAGTGCTTGCTGAAAAGCAACTAAATATTTCTGTTTATTTTTGGCAATTACAGTTACTTTTGGCGCCATCCCCACAAATAGCAATGCTCCATTTCAAGGTTGCAGTATCTACTTTTAGATCTCTTAGTATTTCAAAAGGATGAGAATATTTAAAATAAACTATGTCCTTAGTGCAGTCAATCAAATATTTCCCCATCAACTAGGACAGTTTCTACCTTCTGATTCCTCTCTCAGGTTTAATTCTGTTTTGGATTCTGCTACTGAGTGGCTCTGTAGGTCTTGAAGAAGTCGGTGTGCAAGTGGGACAGCTTAACAAATGCAGAAATCTGAGAAGCAGGAACTTGCTTCCTTCACAAGTACAATATGCAACTGAATAGCAGCTATTGTCTTTATTTTACAGTGGGCAAAATCATGTTCTATTTCTTAAGGAATGGTGAAATCAGGACAGAAATTAATAATTATACAAATCTGGCATCAGTGTTTACAGGAAAAAGTGTCCAGTTGTTCTCCCCTTAAGTTCTTCTTTGACTTTGCAAGACTTCCATACAGCTGAAAATTTTCACTCTTGGCATCACTAAGAGTGTCTGTCATTAGAAAATGTTGACAAAAATAGTTGTCATTACTGAGTGTCGGAGGAAGGAGACCAGGACACCAGTTGGTTCATCATGGCCCTCAGGTCCGGTCCGGTCCCGGTCCCTCAGGTCCTTCAGGTCCAGTTTATTAAAGAAAGTATCAAACACTTATACAGCAAATAATAAGCTTATGAATATTCTGTAAGCCAAGCAATCTATTGGTTAAACTATACCATGAACTCTTCCTCATTCCTTAGGGGTTACATCTCTCTTTTCTCATGTCTCTTTCACTGTTTGTTATCACACTACAGCTAGGCCCAAGGACACGCTATCTTACAGGTGCAGGACTGGGAATTAGCCACGGTTTTGTACTTTTCCAGTCCTTAGCCAGCCAAACTTCCAACAACTGAGAACAAAAAAAGACATAAAATACATCTTCTTTATGGAGGAGTTTGATCACTGTTGAGAACATGACCAGGTGAGAAACATGCTGTTTCCTAGGCTGACAGGACTACAACTGGTCCCTTGGGAAGCTCTTTGGTAACTTTGAATTTGATGAAGAATTTCCCACTTGGAAAGGTGAGGGTTGCACGATATAAGAAAGTCCTCAAATTCCAAGGGCACAACAAATATGGGTTGGAAGTGCTGAGGGGGCCTTGCTCCTCCAGTCTGTGGAGGTTTGTGAACCAAGCAGGGACTGACAGATGTGCCATCCCCACACAGTAAGGCTGCAGCTGCTCGGCTGGGCCAGCCTTATGCTCTTGTGAAGGCTCCAAGGCAGGGATCAGCACATGGAGCCAATGGATCAGCACAAGACACACACTTATCACAAATTATGAAAAGCAAGTACAAGACAGTTCTGTGCCCAGTTCATTTTGGCTTCTTCTGGAGTTGGGAATAAGCAAGTTTCATTTAACAGCATATAATGTGTTGAAGGCAATGAGAACACAGATGTCTTAGCATCCTTTTGGCACAGACTCCCTGGGAGGGGCAGCCTGGCTGTGAGTGCAGTTCAAAGGACAGAGGACATGATATGAATCAAAAGCATCCTAACTTGCTGAGTTAAATGACATAAATCACAACATGAATAGTGTATTCAACCATGTATAGAACCATGGCCAGAGGCTCCCACATACCACAGCCAAGCCTTTCCTTTGAGACACCCCTCACAAATGCCTTTGCTGCTCAGAAAGCAAACTGGGCATGGGAGGGGTGGTATATTCATAGGAGGCCTGCATGTTCACCTTCCCAATTTTGTGAAACTATGAGGGTATTCACACACACCACCCAAGCAAAAATGTCCCTGCACTGAAAGAAAATTGTTATTGCAAAGTCAGTATCTTTAATATCATGGAATGCCAGAATTAAGCTTGCCTTTGATGTGGCATCCAATTGTGTACATGTGATGATAACACTTTTTAAATTAGACAACTGCATCGTACTTCTTTCAAGAGATCCCTACTTCATTCCATACACGGGAACAGATTAGATTTCTTAATGAGATTCTAGGCAGGATTTTTATTAGCACTGATCTTCTACACCCTCTTTTGTTAACTGAACTGATTCCCAGTACAGCTCTGAATAGGAAATTAAAAATGTAATATTTTTTGTAATTATTCTCAAAGTTCAAGTCAACTGCAGCTGAGTTCTATGACTCAGTAATCCAAGATGGTTAACTAAAAAATGCAGACTAAGCAAGCTGTGAAAACCTAGTTTTCATGTCTTGTGTTGTCAGGCTGTGTGAGATAGCAATGCCCAGCTGCATTTACTGTGGCAGTATTCTTACCTTCACTGAAAGTTCTCCACTCAACCCTAAAAGCTGACGTTTCAGAGAGCAGCATATTTCAGCTCAACCCCAGAAAATACACATTTTTTACTCTCACTGGGCACAGTTACACCAATGTCCTCAGGCTGACTGTAGAATGTGTTTGCACAGTACAGACTACAAAGAATACCTAAAGGTATCATAGGGAAATATGAAGTTGAAAGCTTGAAATTCCCTCTGATCTATGCCAGGACAGACCACTGTATCCAATACCTACATGCACAGACAAAGAAGACTTCCTTTCTTCAAAGTTAATCTGTCCTCCTGAAGGGCATAATTTTCCTTGAGTTTTGATTAATCTGTCCACTTGAAGGTGGACCATTCCTCCATTTTTCCAGGAGACAAAACATAAGGGATACATTTGTGCAACCAGAAGCCCTGGGCTGAGAGCTGCCTGTAAGGCAACTGCAACATGGGAACCTTGACCTTCAGGCTGCCAAAATGTCCAATATGCTATACAAAAGGGAAAAACCAGCTCAAATTGTCCATTTGTTTAAAAAGAAGTGGAAACCGTAATCCATTTAAAGGTTTCAGAGGAGAATACATTAAAGAAAACCAGCAAGTACCTTCTCTGTGTGGGTTAGCTCTTTCACCCATGACTTCTTAACATACCAGCTCTAGGGTGTGTTTCTTTCAAGAAAGATGCAGGTTTTTACATGTAGATGCCTCTTGAGTGCCTGGCATACTGCACCCAGCCTCCAGCCACATGGCAGAAGGCACAGAGGTCCACTAAGTCCTGTTTTGTGTCTTCAGCTCTGTGTGGATGTCCTGGCCACCCTCTGCAGTTTATGTCCAGGCAACTGCCTTGCTCCCCAGCACACATGGCTGCCTGTGTCATGGCATGAACTGCCCTTGTGCACGAATTGCCCACACCACTGATGCTCCCATGCTCCTGCCACTGCACCTGCCCAGCCAAAGCAGGGTGCCACAGGCAACAGTGACTCATTGCTACGCTCACCCCAAGACATGTTGCATGAGGAAGACAGGTTCTTGCTGTGTTTTGTTTATAATAGGGCTGAAGCTGTACTTCCCACAGAGCTTAAAAAGTGAACAAGAAAGCCTCAGGTGACATTTCAAGGGAGGACAGCTTGGGAGGTGCCTTTTCTTTTAAACTAACCTCAGTAGAAGAATGAGGATATAATCAGGTAAGTGTCAAAATGAATGATGAATCCACACATCAGATAACTGACCCAGTTTGAAAAGAATATTGTACTTTATTATTTTAGATTGAAAAACAGGATGGTTCAAAACTTAAAGGATTAAAACTGCCCCAACTGTTGCCAATGGAAATATTGTCTTTCACTTCAACAAAACCAGAAAATGTCTTCAGTTAATCTGGAAAAAAGTTTGAAATGCTGGAGAGATTACTAGTTGCTGCCAACCATTAACTTTCCTCCTTTTCCTCCAACTGAATTATGCCAAATCTTTCATGGCCAGTATGTTTCATTGCCATTTACTTATTTACTGTCTTGCTTTTCTACAGATTTTTGAGAGGAAGATGGAAAGCTGATCTGTTTCTAGAATTTATGATAGGGGAGAAAAACAGCTAAAAAATGAGGGGGAAAAAAAAAAGGAGAAAGAAAGCCTACCTTCAGCCCATGGAGCTGGCAAGACATTATCACCTGGAGAGAGCTGAGGGGCAAGCTTAAAATGTGCCACTACTATTGACCACCCTCTCTCAGAGGAAAACCTTGTTGCTGGTGTTTCATTGATCGGCCACACTGCAGTCCCAGCTTTATCCACTGAGATTCACGCTGTGAAAGGCAAAACCATAAGGACAAGGATAACATATATATGCAGGATGATGCTGGACTGTGCATTAACAGAATTTGGCCATCTGTTATTCAGGAGTAATGGCACTTCACCACAAAGAACATTAACCACATTTCCATTGCTGTAAAGCTCTTGCTTCATTTTTCTCCACTTCCCTTCCCTAGACCCAGATCCAGTCACATCCTTTGCATTATCTCTGTGCTCATCAGTACATTCATGCTTTGAGTCAACTCCATATGCTATCACAAATGATTCACCTTTTTTCCAGTTTAATATTCTTCCTAATTCCAGTAATTAGAATTGGCTTGGTGCAGGGTCAGAAAACACAAGCCAGTGCATGTAAGGGGACGTAGGCCAAGGCAAAAAAGGAGGACAGGGAGAAGGGCACAGAACCTCTTTAAGTGGAAATGAGCTGTCAGAAAAGCTCAAGCCCAAACGTGTAACTTTACCTGTGGAGCTTTGCTGCAGACACTTTAATTCTTTGTTATGTGTCCTGCAGGCTTCTCCTAATAGCCATCTGCAGCCTGACAGTAATTACATAGCCTGGCTCAAAGGATTGAGCAATAATGTGATAAGGTGAACAAAAAGCACTCCAAGAGAAAGCTACCTTTTAAGTATGTTTAGAGGCCTAAAATGTCCAGTAGTATCTACTGAGGTGTTTCCAAAGCACTTAGCCATCCCTTGAGAGCTGCACATGCCTGTTTAGTTGTAGCATCTTTGTCTCTGAGAATCTATCCTTTATGTCTCAACAACCTCCTGGGTCATTTAGGACTGAATCCTTCAGCAACAAAGGCTGAGAAACAAGTGTGGTGAGACCACCAAAGACCCTGCAGCCCATGATCTATAGCTACTTCCAACAGTGCTGTTTATGCACCATGTGGAAGCAGCAGGGAGACAGCAGCCAGGAGCTGTTCCCTCACATAACTCAGTTTCTCACTGGGAAAATGCAGACCTATTCAGCTTATATTCCACCCATTTCTCAGTACCTGAAGCTCTCTCCAGAAATACAAGCTGCCAAAGAAAGATAAAAATGGAATGTAAAATTATTCAAATACCTGAACTATTAAATGGAAGGCCAATGTTATCTTTCTTGATATAGCCAGTCTATTTGCAAATTGGCAGTTCAGTCCCACTAATATTTGCTGAGCTAGCTAACAGCATTTTTCACTCAAGATGCCTGGAACATGTTTAGGCTTATTAATAAATTCAATCTTCTGTTACATGTAGTAATACACAGGTTTCTACTTGGGATTTTGAACAACTCTTTCATGACATAGTTAAAGCCTTTTCCTTGGTGGAGTGCCACAGAATTACACAGCTCTGATGAAAAAGAAGATTAAAGCACACTGGAGTCATGAGAAATTTGAGAAGAACAAAGGTTTCTCAGGGGGTAATCCACATGACTAAAACCTGCACATGTGCATACACTAAAAGGGAGGTTATAACCAGCATTAGACTGAATTATTTTAAGCATGGAATTTTTTGGCTGTATCTGCTGTTCTTCCTTCTTGCTCTGCTGCTGTATGCCCCCACAGCCTGCACTTGAGGGAACCTTGCAGCCTCCTCTGCCTCGCTGTCCCAAGCATGGATCTGTGCAGGGCACAAACCCAACAATGCTGCCTTGGTGCTGCTACCCAAGAGCCATGGCTTTGGAAAGAATCAGCAGGCAGCAGGAATCCCACAGGCAAAACCTGGGAATCCTGCTGTCAGCACCACAGAGCGTGGGAGAGCTGCAGGTTTGGCAAGCAGATGATTGCTCTTTTACACAACTGTGCAAAGTACAGTTCTTGTGATAAAACATTACAGTTCATGACAGGTTATTTGGGGCAAGGGTTACATTTCCCTGAGTCTTATCTTGCTGCCTGATGCATTCTGTGGCAGGAACTGGAATTTGGACAAAGATTAAAGAAGTTACAGATGTGAACAACTGGGTAACTACATGGAGGCTGTACTGCTGTTACTGGCAGAATTAGGAGAGGTTAGAAATGTGAGGCCTATAATCATTTACAGGCATGGAGAGAAACCAGGCAGTTATTTTCTATAACCCTCAAATACTAGAACAATGGAACCTTGGGGAATTTGGTAATGGGAAGCATGGTTTGGGTTCCAACTCTTACCTGGCAGTGCAGCTCACTGGCTCTGCTTTTATTTCCCAGCCTGTAAAAAAACTGGAGACTGAAAACTGATATTTAAAAAGATATAAAAACTAGTACTAACGCATCTTACTTAGGAATTCTACTATTTTTTCCACTAAGGATCAGGACTTTATTCTTAGCTGCTAAACTTTACATAAAAAATATGCTACAGCTTGAGTGTGGCAGGAAAGATGACACAGTTGCTAAAGAGAAAAATATTATTTATTTATTCTGCTTTTCAACTAACTTACTAACTTTTGAATGCTCCAATCCACATTTAACTAATATTTGTGGGTTTGTGCATTCTTTTCAGGAGATGTTGATGATGGAATTAGGACTTTTAGGCGTGTTGTCCTTCAAGAGGATACATGTGTGCAAAAAAAGTGCAGACACCTACACTCCTGCCTGTGGTGGGAATTCAAGTAACCAAGGAGCTCAGTTGCTTTGTTAAGATGCACACTCACAATTCAGGCTTTTGTAAAGCTTAATTATCAACAGAGTCTTTGGAAGGACTTTGCACTCAGCCACTGTTTTTCTGATACTCACAGTGAATGAAGTGATGCATTAAAGACAACAACTCAACATGCAGAGAGGATGAGGAGGAAGTCATCAGCGCTGCCATCGAGCACCTGGGCTTCTTTTATTTTACACAGGTATCTACTAAGAAAAAAAAAAACCAAAGGTGAGCTATGAAAAAGAATATAAAGATAATCCTATAATAAAGGATCTTCATCTTAAAAGATGCTGGAAAGAAAATAAACTGGAAAGTAATTTGGAAGTTCTTGCTTTCTTTGAAATTCTTTCTATGTTGTGCAGTCATCAAAGAGCCTCTTTAGGACAGGTTTGGACACAGTGACAGCTGAATTGGTAGGAGAGTGCACTTCCAAGGGAACTGGTGGTGGTAGGACAAAAAGGTGAACAGGATGCAATGGGCATCAGTCACCACGCCAGAGCACCCTGAGAGGGAGCAGCTCAGCAATGTGCAGGGTAATTCACAAACTACAACTGCTATTACTGCCAGCAGCATTCATGGCACGATTAGGTATGCCCAAGTCAGACAAGGCACCATAATTGTGTCCTGTCCACAGACACAGAAAAAGAGTATGTGGGCTACTCAGAAATGAGAAGTTCAAGTCCCTTGCAAAAGGAACATGCTAATAAAGACCAAAGTGGTGAAACAACGTGATTATATTCACTTTTTACATAAATGCATGAAACTTTATAGAATGAAATGCAAAATTCATCCTTACTGAAGAAAAAAACTCCAACCCTCAAAACCAATGGTTATAAATAAAAATTCACAAAAGAATTCCTAGAAATACGCCACTTAGACTCATGCTACTACAGTCATTTCTACATCAGGCAACAGCAAGAAGAAGAAATTTTAAAGCAATACTGACAAACCACACCCATGTCTCTCATACACTACTTGAGAAGTTGGCTTGGAGAGGAATAAGTATTATTAGTTAGACCAGAATAAGTCCCCATTAGTCATATTCCTCAATGCATAGCAGCAAGACTTTAACTGGAAGACACATCAGATCCTTCACTTGAATATTTTCAGTGTCCTGACTTCCTTCACTCCCCAGAGAGGTCATTTAATCCAAGTTGCTAGTCAGCAAGACTTTCTGCATCAAGAAATAATTGACTGAGCACAGGTCTCTCCAGTGCCTCAGGAAATGTCTGGAGGCCTCCTCACTCAAAAGGAAGCAGATACTGCATCTCCTGCTCACCTGAATCAATTATACTGGACACAAGTGCCTATCATAAATTATAGACCTGGAAGCATTAAAATATTTGGTAAAAAAAAAAATACAATTTCTACCAAACATACCATTTAAAAACTTTGGAAGATGACTGTTTCATTTGAAGTCTTTTCATTTTACTCAGAGAATAACCCAAATACAGCAATGCCAGCTCAAAAGTTACCTTGAACAAAGTTGCTTTAAAATTTTTTTGCAGATGATTCATGAAGTAAAACAAATCTTTCTTTCTTCCTTCTAATAACAGCCTCATCACAAGACGTCTCCTCTTTACTTATTACTTTTAATGACAGCCAGCAAAAGAAAGGATTCTGTAGGAGTGGCCTCACCTATAAGTCTACATATCTTTCATCTCTCCCAGTGGGTATATTCTCAAAGAGCCAAGCTGCTCTATTTAGATTTAGTGGCAGCTGATTTGAATAGCTTTGCAGCTATACAAAACAAAAAGTGACTTATCCTCTGTGGAGAATGACAGGAACATGTCAAACAGCTTCTTGCTGTGCAAGTTGCAAGTCAATCTCCTCCAATCAACCTACTAAATTACAGGTACACCAGCCTTTCCCCTCAACTATTTCCTCTGAACCATTCAGAAAAGGTAGTTAGCCTTGGGGCTGGGGATATGGGTACAGAGTAAAGCAGTAACATCATCCAAAATACTGCCTGTATGTTCAGAGAAGCTTTTTTTCCTCTTAAGTATATTTGAAGTAATTATACATGATACTCAGTGTACTGGAAATAATTATACAACATTAAGCATGTGGGCAGATATTATACAATGGTGGTTTGTCTTGAAGTCATATTTTAGGTGATGTGCAAATGAACATTTCTGCATGTGATGCTGTCAACTTTAGAATAGCTTAGTCCTCCACTATGGATCACCCCACACTGTCAGAACACATACACCAGAACTGGAGGGAAAAGGTTTCAGCTGAAGGTAGTGAACATTCATAAACAGAGCTGACTTTGTCACGCTGTTATGCTAGAGATTGCAGTGTGAGAAAAGAGTTTACATCTTTATCAGTTTTACTGGTGCAAAAGGAAAATACCTTGATTTCTGTTCCAAACAATTTATTAGCTCAATAGTTGATGAGACTAAGCACACAGGACTGGAAATAGAGCAGATATTGACACTAAAGGAACACAAAAATGAGCTGGGTTTAAATACTGAGAAAGACAGGACATTGAAAATGTGCTCTTGAATTGCAGGTCAAAGAGCAGCATTAGTGATCAGCTGAAGAGAACAGACTGTGCAACAGCAGCCTGCAATATAATAAAATTGATCTTATTTTCAAAATTTTTTGTATGTTGCTGGAAACATTTACAGTGCATTATACACCAGCACACTCAAAGCAGCTGGGATTATACCAAATACCCAATTCTTCCAGAGAAGTTTCTCAGTAACACAGGGCTCTTGCTGCCAGCCAAGTGAACTGAGAGCATGGACCCTAAACAATATGGACACCTTGGCTCAGATTTGTAAGGTGACAACATTAACTTTGATTTGATACAACAAGGTTTGCTCCAGACCCAGGCTCACTGCCCCAAGAGCTAGAGGGGGCTGACATAGCTGTTGGCTATCAGGTGCTCCTTGTCACTAGCTGGACTCCTGAGGTGCTTCAGCTCTACCTCAAAGCTGTGGAAAAGCTGAGGCTGGATGGCAGCATGATGGCACAAATATGGAATCTTGATATTTTGGTGCAATTGCCCTCAAACATGCAAGGCTCTGTCCTCTTAGTTCTGAAATAAAGTGCAATTTGGCTTTCACATGAGGGATATGCCTCATCAGACTCTACCATTGACAAGTGTGAGACTTTTGGCCTCTTGATGTTTCAAAAACAAAAAAGGTTATGGGATTTTTTAGCTAGAAGAAAAGACTGTTTTCTTGTCCACCAAACTAAGTCAAACAGCCATCTCCAAATCTACTATAGTACCAACAACAGCACTGCTTTCAATCAGGCCAGCCTGTACAATTTCTGTCAAAACCATGAGGTTTTTTTTAAAAAAATCATGAGCTCCTAAAAAAAGGTCATTATAAATTGTTTGTTATTTTAACTATCACTGCTTGTTCTGTCAATGCTGCCTTTTGTGTAGAAACGTATGCCATTAAAACACTTTTGAGTCATTTTACTTTAGTAGTTGGTATCTTCCACTAATGTGTTTCAGTTTTGTTATTCTATTATCTTGGGAGCTTATTCTATCCTTTAGGCACCTCATATCCTGGAATAAGACAAACAGTTCTTGTAAGTATAGTCATTCAGTCAATGAAATATCTAATAATACAGTTCATCCATTAGCGGGCTATATCACAATTCAAATACCTTACTAATTCTCAAAGCATTGGATTATCACGTACCAGCCCTGCGGCCGATGATGAGCTTTGTGAATGTAACAATGAGGGTCCAGGAGTAATGAATTTCTGCTTCTCAGCAGTGAGAAACTTTCCCTTCATGTTAACGTTCAGCCTTTGGTCTGTTCATTTAGTAACAATTTAACACTAATAAGCCTTCCTTCTACTTTTTATGGACTGTAAAATACACGCTTTGACACGCCCCCGCATCCTCTTTCCTGACACAATGCTGTTGCAATTCCCTCCAGAACAACCCCCGGGTTACAAACTCATTTTCAGCATCTTTACGGCATCAGCATCTTTACTGCTCGGCACTACAGCACGAAGGTTCCGCAGCCGGAGAGAGGCAGAGCAGAATCCACGGGGGATGGGGGACGACCTCTGTGGACTGCACTCCACCCACTCCGAGCATCACTCCGAGTTTTCCCCGTGCTCTGATCTGTAAAATACACAGAAACGTTCGCACACTGTCCGCGCTTTGGGGCCTTTCAGTCAGAACCATTATTTTGGCACTCTCAGGCCCACAAGGGTCCCTTTGCCCCCGGAACACCAGCCCGGCCAGACGTGCTCCGTCCTGCCGGGGGACACCCTCCCGCCGCCATGTCGCCTGGTGCGGACAAGCGGCGCCTCCGCCCCTGTGTCCGGGGCGAGGGCCGGGCGTTCGGAGCAGCGGCGCTCAGGGTCGCTGCCGGTGACCGGGCCTGCCTCCCCGGAATCGCTCCCGCTGGTTGCCCGGCGGCTCCGCGCCGATAGCGCCCGGGGCCGCCAGGCCGCGCTCAGCCCCGCGCCTGGCACGGCGGGGGCGGCGCCTGCCGGCGGAAAGTGCTGAGTCACGGCCCTGACGCGCGGCCGCCGTCACGTGCGGCGCCGGGCTCGGTCCCGCCGCCGCGGCGCCTAGCGCACCCGCGGCACCGAGCGCACCGCGCACGGGCGCACCCGCTCCGCTCCGCTCGCGTCCTCGGCCTCTCTCCTTCCCTCCCTGCTAGCCGGCATGGGGCTGCTGTCGCAGGGCTCGCCGCCGAGCGGGGAGGAGACGCGGCGGTACGCGGAGCACGTGCGGCGGCACGGCATCCTCCAGTTCCTCCACATCTACCGCGCCCTGCGCGACCGCCACAAGGACGTGCTCAAGTGGGGCGACGAGGTGGGTGAGAGCCCTGCGAGCGCGGCCTCCGCCTCCCCCTGTGGCGGGCGCAGGTGCCGTTCCGGTGCGGCGTGGGTCGGGCCGTGCTGCCCGGAGCGGGCCCGGCCGCGGTGGCCCGGCGGGAGGGGACGTTGCGGCTGCCCGGTGGGGCTTTGTTTACCTCGCGCACACGCACCGCCCGCCGCAGTTCGTTGCGCAGCACGGCTGCCCCGCTGGTACCGCGGGTCTGAAACGCCAGAACAACTTTGAGCGTTTCCGCCTGGCACCGCTCGGTTGCCCGGGCAGCCCCTCGGGAGGCGTACTCCCGGGACGGCGATGCTCGGCAGCGCTCGCTCCTCCTCCGGAGTTTGTTTATGCTTTCTCGATGAGTCTGAGTAAAGCATGTCTGTGCTTCCAGTCCAAGGCACTGCCTGCTCGGACTCAGACTCAGTTTTTGGGAGGAAAGTGAGGGAAGCAGGAGCGGGGGTGGGCGGGCGGCTCTGCAGTGGCAGCACTGTCACCGCGTTCCTCCTGTATCCCTGCGAGAAAGGGACCTGCCAAGCCCTGCTTTATCCGAAGTTTTCTGGGCGTTTAGTACGAGTCCGCCTGCCTTCTGAACAAGGTTTAGGATGATCGCTCGGGTCATGACTTGAGCTTTGTTACAGGTGCTTTGTGCTCGAGGACCGTAACTTTAGTCACAGGTCTTGGGTGTGCTGCCTTGTAAACTTTCGCTCATCTGTAACACGGCCTGACAGCACTCTGCAAGGGGCAAAGGCTGCCTCCTCTGTTCATCAGTTCCCCAGGAGACAGAGAGCAGCTTCCCATGTGCTGTACTAGAAGCTGTCCTTGTCCGTGGTGTTGGTGAAGTCCAGCATTGGTCACTTGAAAGTGTTCTAGATGCATCTGTAGGGAAGTTGGAAGAGCAGAGTAGGATTCAAGCAATGTGGGGACTTGGCCATTGACCTCTGTCTCATGTTTGCTTTTTGAACAGCAAAGGCATTTGTGAGAAAACTTCCTTCAGATAATAGCAGCTGTTCGTAGATGCTCTTTGCCAGAGGAGAATGCTGTTCACTCTTCTCAATGTGTGGGCTCTGAGAGAACTTCTGTCTTAAAGTCAGTTCTTCTTTAAGTGAACCCCTTTTATACTTCAGATAACAACAGGGCAAGCATCAGCGCCCAGAAGGTGCTTCCATGAGTGAGCAGGGGCTTGGCTTCTAAAATCTGTTTAATGAAAGTATGTGTAGTCTGAACCACAGAGTTCTGCACCTAGAGTGGTGTGGACTCAGAAAGTTTAAATATACTTTTATCTGTCCTTGTCTGACGTTTGTGTTCCCGCATGTCTTGTATGGCTAAAGTTATGCTGACAAAAGAGCCTCACAATCTTGAGTCCAGGAATATCGACAGTCTTCCTGTTGCTCTGAGACTTAGCTCAAGGGTTTTCTCATTAATCTTTAAGAGATGGTGCTCATTTTTCAATGGGTGTTAGATTTTAGTTGTCCTTGCTTTCTCAGGGTGAGATTTCACAAGATAGTTAAGGCTGATCTACTAGCAAGCTGGTTCAGCTTCCTTCCCTGTATTCCAGGCTCCTATTTCTGCTGCCTGCCTTGTGTTGTTACTGGCCAGCTGAGTTCAAAACGTTTACCCCGGGGAAAACTCTTCTTCCATTCAGTTTTTGAGGGTGGTTGGTTTTCTCAGCAGAGCTTCAGCTCTTTCACAGTTTGGCCCAACAAGCTCTGCTTAATGTGAGGAAAGTACCAGGAGTGTGTGGAGGAAATGATCGAGTACAACCAGCCCCTTCAGCACCCACAGCTGGTCACTTGGTAATCTCAGATATGTGGTGAGGCTGGACTGTGGGAGCCTCGTTCTTCCTTTGGCCTGGGGACCCTACTGAACAAAGTGTTTATGGTCAATAAATAGTGGAGCATAATGTCAAAGGAGATTCACAGTTCTCTTCTGCCATGCCCCAGTGTGGCAAGAGGCAGCATTTTAAGAGCAGTATCATTGCAGACATTATTTTGGTAAGGAGCTGAGAGCTGTATTAGAAATGTCTGTGGACATTCTGAGAAGGTCAGGTAACCTGGTTCACTGTCTACCTCTTCATTTTAGCAAATGCTAATAAACTCAGGTGTGGCAACTTTGTTCTGCTGTGTTATGTGGTTATATATTTTTATGTAACATAGCATTTAGGAGTGAATGGACCAGGTACTTGCAGCTAGTCTGCTCTTCTGCAAACACAAAACTGTACCTCAGTGTGTAGTTTCTTGAGCTGTGCTGTAGATAGGCTAGTGCAGAGGGCAGTGCAATTGTTTTCCATTTTTTCCCCTCAGGTACCTAGTTGTTAGAAAGTGGCGCCACATTTATATGCAGCTTAGATGAATCAACTGACTAATTGGGCTGTTTTAATAAAAAGTCTTGTTTGCACTTAGACCTTCATGTATAAAGTTGTAGCCTAAGGGTGTTTAATTGTTTTAAAAACTTCTTGAAGATAGAAATCAAGAGTAAAGATGACAGCCCTCATGTAGTGGTAGAGATAAAATCAGAATAAACCAAATTACTTTTGTGTTTCTGTGACCGTGTTTAGTGAAAACTGTATCTTGTAAATTTTTTTAAGGAATGTTTATGAGAAAAGATTCAACTGCTGTATCACATACTGAGTGCTTTCAGGGTGTATGTGTGAATACCTGAAAGGTTTTTCTCCATCTAGTGTGGAATGATGCCATTGTGAAAAGGACATACTGTGTTCGGTCACGAGTGTAGATACCAGCCTTTGCTTGGGTTTTGCTCTCATTAGGGCTCCCACTTCTCGGTGTGTGTTGTAAGACTCATTACAGAGCTGTGGGAGTTCCTTGGCATGCTTGTAACCTCCTAAGGACGCCATTTACTGGGGTGCCGAGGGAATTATCATGTACTGTTTCTTGGGTGTAAGACAGGAGTGTTAAGGCTAAGTGCTAGCAGAGCATGATGGTGGCATCTGTTTTGAAGGGAGCGAGACAGCATCAGGGCTTACACTGCAGGGTAGCATTCCCTGGCGCTCCCATCCTCACCTGAATAAAGAGCTGTAAAGGTCAAAACACTGGTTCTGCTACCTTTGGAAAAGTCAGCTCTTTTATTGCTTGTTGTGTTAGTAGAACTAAGAGCTGTTGTCTGTTTTGGGGTAAGTTCTTTTTTACTCCATTTTCCACAACCATGAAGCCTTTGCAATGGTAAAAAACAAAAGCCTACCAAATATGTAACGGAGTAAGACTTGCTCTAAAAAAGCTTTCTAAAGGTCTGCTTAAATTTGCATTTGCAGGTAAAGGTCTTCTGCCTCTTAATCATTCTTCTACCTCATTTAAAACTGACAGTTGACCTCCCTGTTTATGCTTGACTTATCCTGATTGTGAAAATACAAAACAGTGAACTGTCTCATTATCCCTCATCAAACTCTGCCTTACTATCATTGCCTTAATGCTCACAAAGTCTGGGCAACAATTACATTTGCTGGTGAGACCCTGTCATGCTAACTACAATTTCCATGTGTTCTCATCTTCCTCTTCCATCCAATAAGGTGTGCTTGACCTCCAGGTTGCAGAGTTGTGATCACTGTTTATTTTTTTTTATTTTTGTGCAGCAGAATCAAAAACCTTTTCAGTACTGTTTCAGAGCTCCAGTACAGTTAGCAGATACTATCTGAAACAATGAGTTTGTGCAGCTTGGCAGATGCTAGCCTATTCTGCTGCTTCCCAGCTTTTATCCCAAAAAGCTCCCTTCTGTGCCAGTGTATTATTAGTCTCTTGTGCTGTTCAGCACCTCTTGTCTGCTGGTTGCATTCCTCTTACTGACAGATGTTGCTTAAATTTCCCTTTGGAGCTTAATGCGGACACTCGGATCAGGCGAGTGGAATGGCTGGCCCTTGGCAGGGCTCTCTGCTGCTGCTGCTGCTTTGTGCTGAGTGTGCACACAAGTGTAGAGTCACAGCATTGCACACCAACTACATATCCATGTGTACTCACATGTGCATGTGGTACTTGGCTGCCACAGTCTGTAAAGACTGACAAGGAGTTGTTGAGCATAAGAAAATTCTGAGAAAGGTGTGCCAGAAGGAGATCTCAGAAGGAAGAGATTTAGAAAGCAAGCATGGGCAAAACGCGACAGTTTTATTTTAAAGCGCATGTGAATGAAGTAGGAATCTGACTTGCTCAGCCTTGTTTAGTGAAATTGGACATAATGACACTTTGTTCCCATCAGTGTAGGGACCTAGCACACAGTAAGCATCTTCAGCTTTTTAAAAGTTGTTTTCTTAACAGCAACTTGAAGTGAAAATTTGAGGCCTTTAAATAAAGATTTGATAATGCTGTGTATGAGGCAGCATGACAAATGTACCACTCCACTGCTTGCAAGTTGAAGTATTTCTGAATTAATTCTACTTTGGTTTTGGTTCTTTGTTTTCTTTCCTTCCTTTTACCTCTTTCTCAGTCCTCTTTAAGCTTCTTTTGATCTTTCTTCTGTACACTCAATTAATTCCTCTCCTTATCTTTTAGTTTTTGAATTATACCTTGTAAATATGTTAAATGAGAACTAAAATGAGCATGTGCTAATCAGCACTTCCTCATGCAAGAAGCAAAGCAGCCCTTCTCAGGAGCTAGGAGAGGCCAGAGGTTTCTTACCAGAATGCCCCAAA